CTGGTGGTTCAGAGCTAACTGGCATTGAGACATACGAATTATGGTCCCATCGTGAACGTGTTAAGAGTGAGAATGGTAATTACTAACCCCTTGCCTATTTTGATTTCATGATAATTACTGGAAGAATTGAAAGGTATATGATTAATGAACTCTGGAGTAAGGAATTAAGTATAGTCATCCCTCAGTATCTGTGGGGATTGGTTTCATATCCCTCTGCCATTAACAAAATCTGCAGAATCTCAAGTCCCTTTTTAAAAAAGTATAGTATTTGCTTGTAGCCTGTCTTCATCCTCCTAAATTTAAAATCATATCTGGATTAATGATATCACTTAATACAAAGTATATGCTATATAAATAGTTGTTATCCTGTATTTTTGAGGAATAATGACAAGGGGAAAATGTCTACATTTTTAGTACAGATGCAATTTTTTTCCCCCAAAGTTTTTAGATCTGCAGATGGTTGAATTCATGGGTGTAGAACCCATAGATATGGACTGACTGTAGCCTCTTTTGAGGGGGAGTTTTCTTATTTATTTGTGAATGTATTCTAGAATAGTACCTATGGTTACTTACGGCAACTGTCGGAACTAAAAGATGATAGTTACAGAGTATATAATTAGAGCTTTTTTTCCCTAAAATGTATGCTTACTAGTACATGTTTTCAGTTCATCATGATTACATTCTTTGTGTAGAATTGGTACATGTACATAAAACACTTTAATTTCCTTTTTTTAATCCCCTTACCTTCCTCTCCCATCCCCTCCCTGCATCTCTTGATCCCTTTATTTGAGAAAGATCTACCTCCCTACTTCCTATTATCTGTCTTTTATTTTGGTCTTAATTTTTAATTTGGGTTTCTCATATAAGAGAAACCATGTGATATTTAAGCTTGTGGGTCTGATTTATTTCGCTTAACATTATGGTCTCAAGGTGCATCTTTTTTGGATACTGGTGATCGAACTTGGGACCTTGTGCTTGCAAGGCAGGTGGCGGGATCACTGAGCTAAATCCCTGGCCTGGCTTCTCTTTTCCTTTGTATTTTCAGTAATGACAATGAAAGGTTGACTGGTGTGGAATTCTGAACTGTTGTTAGTTAAGCAGCAACAATAGCTTTGTGTAGACTATGTGTGTGTAGATGTAGGTCAGCAACTCCCCACCGCCCCGTACTGGTGATTGAACTCAGGACCTTGCACTCGCCAGGCAGGCGTGGTGCCATTGAGCTACATCCCTGGCACTTTCTTCTTGATGTAAGGCTACTGAACTACAGATAAGTCTACAGAGGAAAAGTGGGATAGATTTGACTACATAAAAATTCCTATTTGGCAAATAAAGCAAAAAGAAAAAGTTAAGGACAGTGATAGTCTGGAAGAACATATTGGCAGCAATGAGTTTCTACCAATAAAAAGGTGTGTGGTACATGCCAGTAATCCTAGTGACTTGGAAGCTGAGGCAGGAGGATTCCAAGTTTGAGTTCAGCCTTGGAAACTTAGCAAAACCTGGTCTCAAAATTAAAAAGAAAGAAAAGAGAGAAGGAAAAAAGAAAGGGAGGAAGGAGAAGAAAAAAGGGAAGGGCTGGGAATGTTGCTTAGTGGTAGGGCACCCCTGGGTCCCTCCCCCCAGAAGCACCTGTTCATAGAAAATGAACAAAGAAAATGAATCGGTAGTCCATAAAGGAGAAATAAGTCAGGTGCAGTGGTGCACAGTGGTAGTCCCAGCTGCCCAGGAGACTGAGATAAGAAGATTGCCTGAGCCTGGGAGGTCAAAGCCTCCCTGGGCAAGACCTTTAAAAAATAAGAAAAAAAGAATTGGGTTGGGGACATAGATCAGTGGTAGAATACTTGCCTTAGCATGGACAAGGTCCTGGGTTCAGCCCACAGTACTGGAAGGAAAAATAAAAAACCAGGATGACTATAGAGCATTTGCTTAGCAGGTTTAAATACCTGGATTCAATCTCAAGCACTGCACACAAATCATCATCGTCCTTATCAACAAATTTTTAAAACTTTTATAAAAAATAAAACAAAGTTGGGCTGGGGATTTAGCTCAATGGTTCTGCCACCTGCCTTGCAAGTGGAAGGACCTGAGTTTGATCCCCAGTACCAAAAAAAAAATAGAAAGCAGTAGACATATGAAAAGAGATTATCAGTAGTGACCAGAGAAGTATAAACAAAATGGTAGGGATTTTTTAAAACATAAAATTGGAAAAATTAAAAAGATTGTTAATACCTAATATAGGAAGAATGATAATATGATATCTAACATAGATGAGGTAGTTTGGCACCCATATTGTTAGTGAGAATCTGAACATGTGGTTTTGTTTTTGTTTTTGTTTTTTTGGTATTGGGGATCAAACTCAGGACCTTGCACTTTCAAGGCAGGTGGCAGAACCACTGAGCTAAATCCCTGGCCCCTAAACATGTGAATATTCTTTCATAGTTTTACTTCTAGGAACAGATCCTAAGGATGTAATTGGATGACAGTACAAGAATATACATTATTTTCTTATTTTTCAAATTTCAAATAACCCTTATTTCCACCAAGAAGTTAGTAGTAACATGAATTATGGACTATTGAAATATTAGGTGTTCATGAAAAAAAAAATATATATATATTTTTGGTACTGGGGATCGAACTTGGGTCCTTGGACTTGCACAACAGGCGGTGAAACCACTGGCTATATCCCTGGCTCCTCATGAAAATATTTATATTACATATAATTAAATATATATCATAATGTGGGAAGATAATCCACACTATATTGTTAAATTGGCTAACAATTTATGGCTATTTAGGGTTATAAGTGTATCACAGCCATGAACTGGTTATCTCTGAGATGGAACAATGAGATGATTTTGACTTTTTAAAAATAGTATTATTGGGCTGGGGATTTAGCTCAGTGGTTCTGCCGCCTGCTTTTCAAGCGCAAGGTCCTGAGTTTGATCCCTGGTACCAAAAAAAAAAAAGTATTATTGTATTTGACCCAGCTGTTTCCCTTCTGGATATCTTCCTGAAAGAGTTAAAGACATCATATTGCAGTGATACATGGATGCCTATGTTTGTAGCAGCACAATTCATAATAGCTAAATCTTGGCAGAGCCCTGTCAAGAGATGAATGGGTAAAGAAAGTGTGATATTTATACACAATGTGGTACAACTGTGCATAAAGAAGAATAAACTTAAGTTTGTAGGAAAATGGATGCACCTTGAGACCATAATGTTAAGTGAAATAAATCAGACACACAAGTTTAAATATCGCATAGTTTCTGTTATATAAGAAACCCAAAATATAAATACAGAGCAAAATAAAAGATAAGATAATAAGAAATAGATCTTTTGCAGAAGGGAAGGGAAGACCAAGAGATGGAGGGAGAGGGTAAAGGGGAGGGTAGGGAAGGGAAGGGGACGAAAAAAGAGTTAAGATGTGTTATGTACATGTACCAACTCCCCACAAGGAGTGTAATCATTATGTACTGTACAAGATGTACTAATAAAAAATAAAAATTGATGGGCCAGGGATTTGGCTCAGTGGTTCTGCCACCTGCCTTGCAAGCACCAGGTCCTGAGTTTGATCCCTGGTACCAAAAAGTAAAAAATAAATAAAAATAAAAGTTGAAAAAACATTATCAGATGGCAAGCATGCGCTTATTTTGAAAAAAAGCAATAAAGTTCTTGCTCATTTGAAAAAGAATAGAAATATTAGTTGGGCCTGTTAGTAAACACCTATAATCCCAGCACTCAGGAGACCTAGGTAAAAGGATTACTAGTTCAAGACCATGCTCTACTATATAGTTCAAGGCCAGCCTGGACTACATAGTAAGACCCTGTCTCAAAAAAAAGTTATTAATGCTGGGGATTTAGCTCAGTGGTTTCAATGCCTGCTACGCAAGTGCAAGGACCCGAGTTTGATCCCTGGTACCAAAAAAAAATAAGTTATTAAATTATGATACATTATTTAAGTGTTCGCCCTATTTCCCTGACCCCCAGTACTGAGGATTGAAACCTGAGCTACATCTCTAGCCATGTTTATTTTTTATTTTGAGACAAGGTCTCACTAAATTAGCGTGCTTTGTCTCCTATAATAGAAAAAAACCAATAAATTTATTTCAGTTTTGAGCCATATATGAGGTTTACAGTTAATCAGATAGATGTAAGAACAAGATATAAGAAATAATAAATTGGTAAGGATGAACTTTGAGTAAGTTACTTAACTACTCTAAGCCATTACATGTAAACTGAGGCTCTAATAATGCCCATTGTATATAGGATTGTTGAGAGAATTAAATGAGGTAATGAATATATGGAATACTTAATATAGTCTTTGAAAATGTTAGACGGTTTGCTACCATTGCTGTTCCCAGAATAGGAAAAAAGAGACACCAGATGAGGAAATCTGAAAGTGAATACTAAGAAAAAAAAAAAAAGAAAGAAAGAAAAAACCAAGGAGGGAAAGTGGTTATCTTTTTAAAATTTCTTTCAAATACTTATTACTCCCAACATTCCTGATAAACCTTTTTTGGGTTCTAATCCTATTCCTATAGCTAACTTCTCCTGTTTAGTCTGCAAGCACCTTCTAGGCTAAACTCCTTTTCCTATTCTTTCCAGCTTTGTACCAGGAAAGGGGCTTTCTTGTGATGCCATGCAATTTAAAGAGAAAGGATGTCAGGACCAGAATGTTTCCTTAGAATAGTGTAATTATACATGGGCCCATTAAGTGACAGATTGATCAGCCTTGATTCAGAGATTATAAAGAGCCTTCAAAGTGACATGTTTGAGAACTGATGTTTTAGTATAGGAAATTATTAAATATGTGACTTACAAACTCAGAGTCTTCAACTAAATAATTCTGAACATTTTCCCATTAATGCTGCTTGTTTCCATGGTTACTTATGATCGTTCCTGTCCTTTACATCGTTTTGCTATGTATTTGTATTGCTGTGTATTTGTACATGTATTTCTGAAAACAAATCATGTATTTTCTATTAATTTGTTTGCATCTTCAGAATACATTAAGATGGCCGATCATTATGTGCCAGTGCCTGGAGGACCAAACAACAACAACTATGCAAATGTGGAATTAATTCTTGACATCGCTAAAAGGATCCCAGTACAAGTAAGAGAGTTCTTTAAAAGCAAATTCAGCCATTTTCTGTTAGGCAAAGGGTATATCCAGGGAACTTTTATATAAAGGATCTTTTCTGAAAATTCTTACATGCTTTTATGTGGGATAACCTCAACAGACAAGAAAAGTTGAAAAGAAGAGAATGATTAAAAATAAACATAATAGAAATAGATTTGAAAGAGACTTTCACAGATTTTTAAAAAATTCTGTGCATTTTGCCTTTGTGCTGTCCCAATGAAGTACAAATTAACTATTTCCTATGGGATATTCTTAGCTTAGAACATGGTAGTGATTTTAGAAATAGGTAGTTTGTTCTTATCACATTGTGTTAGGAAGTTTAGGGTGAATACCTTAAAGCCCAACAGGGAAAAAAAATCTCTAGACTTATCAGGCAGTATAATTGCTAGATAGAAAAGTGAAGTTGGGTGGCCAAAATAATTGAATATGTGAAAGATGGCCAATATTTCCGGAAAAGGCTCTATAGAGCCTAGCAAAAAGGCTACAAATTGAGTTTCCTAAAGACCAACAAGACTAGCTGGATCTGAATATCAATTTCAACTTGGTTTTGACCTCAGAAGTTTTGCTACAATGGACTGCTTATTGTTCTATAACAAGTTTGCTAGCGATGAACCATAGAAGCTGAATTAAGCATTCGGTTGCTATGGAACTAACTACTTAATTTAGTAGGACCAGCCTAGATAGAGAGTAAAGCAGTTTGTGGTTTTCTTGGTATGGATTTTAAGAATGAATCACTGGGCTGGGGATTTAGCTCAGTGGTGCCGCTACCTGCCTCGCAAGCGCAAGGTTCCAAGTTCAATCCCCGGTATAAAAAAAAAAAAAAAAAGAATGAATCACATTGTGTTCCCTTGTAGGCAGTGTGGGCTGGTTGGGGTCATGCTTCTGAGAATCCCAAGCTCCCAGAACTTCTCTTGAAAAATGGCATTGCCTTCATGGGTAAGCAGTTCCTGTCTTTGTTTTTCCTTTTGTTGATTTTGTCCATATTCCATTCTATGTCTTTTTTTTTTTTTAATGGTGACAAAGTTTATTTGAAAAAGTAAAAGTGAAGGGGAGAAACTGATTGTGCAGAACAAACTTGGGCTGAATAAAAACAGGAACAAGAAGTGTACTCTGAGGAGCACAGGATGGGCTACCATAAGGAAAGCCATGGTAGCCTTATTTTCTTCTGTTTAGTATGTACTGGGCTTGTGTTTTCTATTTTTTTCAAATCCATCAATAACTTGCAGAGTAACCTTGTTCACTTCCTTTCCCCTCTTCTTCACTTTCACTCTGCTTATCTTACTTCATCTTCATTGTATTTTCTGTCTATGGATTATTTTCCCTGAAGTCTGAAAAATGGTTTCTAAAACACTGGCCTTTTTAAAACTTTGCCAATAACCTCAAGATAACATGTGGAGGAAGGACTTGTTTTAGATAATAAAGATAATTAAATACTTGGTATATATTGGCAGTGTGCCCCTACATGTGAATCAGCACCTTTACACTTTTTAGATAGGTTATGTGCCTATGGATAACAGCTATTTCTTCTGACTTTTTAGCTCTCATTGTGGCAGAAAGAAAAATAGAGATTATGTGGCTCAAAATGTTTCTTTTTCAGAGAGCATCCACATGCTCATTAGGCTGTGTAAACATTATTAAAGATAATTCTCTTCTTTGGGTTCCCCGAAGACCAATGAAGGTCGATATTTTAGACTTGAACCCCAAACCTTTATCATTCTTACTTTAGTATATAAGTTAAAAAAATGACTTCATTAATTACTAAAGGTAGATCCATGAAGGATGATAAAATAAGATTTCTCAGGAATTCAAGTCAGCATATTTTATATGCATATTGACCTCCCATTGTGTACAAAAAGTTTACTACATTAGATTCTATAAAGAGTACAAAGGGGAGTCAAAACACAGATGTTCCCGAAATCAAGTTTCTAATCTCAATGCTATGTGATGTGGGAGGGGAACAAGACAAATACTAAAATAATTATAATACAGGGCAAAATATATGTACCAGATATTATGCAGAAATGTTACAATTGTATTTTTCTGTTTTGTTTTTAGGTCCTCCAAGCCAGGCCATGTGGGCTTTGGGGGATAAGATTGCGTCTTCCATTGTAGCTCAGACTGCAGGTATCCCAACTCTTCCCTGGAGTGGCAGTGGTAAGAAATTGTTTCTTGTTTGTATCTTGGAGTGCAGAAAAGCTCAGTAGGATATTTGGGACTATGCCATCGGCCTTAAGTTGGTTTAAAGTGTATTAGGATACTTGATAAGAAATAGAATCCTAGTATCTCCTGACTTAATACACCTATGATTTTTATCATGTTTTAGGAATATAAATTTAGTACCAGGCACACAGATGCTAAATTGTGATCTAGAATGATCTTGGGACTTAATTTGAGAAAATTCATAGTTTGTTTTAGGGGTTCATATCTACTTGAGGTAAGCTAGAGTCTTCCTCAGAGGCAGACTTCCACTTAGGCCTTTGGACCTGCTTTGGACTGAAAGTCCTAAAAACCTAATGTTTACTTGCCAGTGTTTTCTTGATGTCAGCACATGATTGACTGATGATCTGTTTTGCCTAATACCATTCAGCCTCAGTTGCCCTTGATGTAGAAAATGAGATCATTAGTGAACTTTTCTTCTAGATATAGAGGGCTGAAAAAAATCTTTTTAAATGATTTATTCTTGACAAATCCCTTAAGAACTGCCATGTAAATTATTATAGCTGATAAAAATATGAACTTTCCTTTTCTTAGTGCACATTTATGCTGATCAGACTTAAACTAAAACCTGTTAAAAATAAGAATGACCATTGTCTTAAGGCTGAATAGATTTGAACCCTTGTTATTCTGGCTCTCCAGGGGAATTGCAATATCCTCTTCAGACCTCCTGGGTCAAATAGTTTAAAGGGTTGAATTTGTTCTTGTTTGAATGTAGAGGCTATAGTGTTCCCCTTGTGGCTGAGTACTGGGGCATTCAGGGAGCATGGAATCATGACTCTGCTGAGGCCAATAAAACTGCCATTTCCATTTCCAAGAGCTCATAAAGATTGAATTATTTCTCAAACCTCCGGCTCTGGAGCAGGCCTGAACACACAAATTGAAGGTATTTTTGCCTGCTGGGTTGCAGTGAAAAGTCTGCCATGTTTTTTTTTTTTTTTTGGTCTTGTATGTCCTTGTATTTTTTTGTAAGTTGGTCCCTGTTAGCACTCCTGGCTTTTCCAGCACAAGAACCCAATTTGCCAGCTCATGCTGTGGCTCAATACTGTTAACTCCAAGGACTGATTAGGGTTTTATAGCACCTTCTTCTATCTGCCTTCAATTTTGGATAAATATTTTAAAGAAGGTGTAGCAGAAAATTGACTTGAGCTCTGGTCAGGTTGCTCTCAAGTCACTGTTGTTTATTGCAGGTCTTCGTGTGGACTGGCAGGAAAATGATTTTTCGAAACGTATCTTAAATGTTCCACAGGAACTCTATGAAAAAGGTTATGTGAAGGATGTGGATGATGGGCTGAAGGTAGGTTACTAACCTTGCCCCTGCCCAATTATAGTGACAAATATGGAGATTTGGATCTTGGATCATGATATATACCCATAAAAGCTTGAGAGCCAGACTAACGAGGTATAGTTTATTAAATATAGAGTGAGGAAATTACTTTAAACTTCAGCAGTTTAGATTAGCTTTGAAGCAAGCTGCTCATCTAGACAGAACATTTCTTAGGTAATTAGATCAGTGTTTTAAGGAGGGAGGTATTGCTTTTCTCTCTCTTTACCACCTGTTAGAGGGGTGAGGGTTGCCATGAGCAACACACTTCTCCCCCCTGCTTGAGCTCAGAAGAAGCCATGCATGGGTCAAAATGTCAGCTTTATTACAAAAGAGATGTTGGTAAAGATGACTTAAATGTATACCAACAATGAGATTTCCAAATTGAATGCCAGAATTAACCAGGCTTATTCAGTCACTGGTTACTGGCAATGCTGAATAACCACAGATTTTTCTCTCCAGAGACATGGCTTTTATCACTGAGTTTAATGTATATGGTTGAGAACTGACAAAGAACATATGTTCTGTGCAGTGGACTGATCTCCAAGGGGAAAAGGCTGAGCAATTTATGCTCAGTTTCTCCTTCCAAATTGGCCAGTCACATAATTTATGGGTTTTTTTGGGGGGGGTGTGAAGGAGTAAGCCAAGAGAAGCTGAAAGAATTATTACTAGTTATTATTTATCCATGTAGAAACATGAACCCAGACAAAAAGAGATCCTTTCCCTAACATCACTTTTCTTTCCTTAAAATTCTATCTAGTTTGTACCCCTTTCACTTTTTAACTGCTTGGAAATGTCAGTTACGCCTCAGGTAGATGATGAAACAGGCTATTTTAGAAAAGTACACTATTTGTATTTGACTTGTATATTATAAATTAAAGAGGAATGCTGAGCCAGGCATTGTGATGCACCTGTGATTTCAGCAATCTAGGAGACTGAGGCAGGAGGATCACAAGTTTGAGTCTAGCATAGGTAATTTAGCAAGACTCTGTCTCCAAATAAAAAGGTACTGGAGATGTAGCTCAGTATGAAGACCCTGAGTTCCATTCCCAGTTAACCCCCCTCACCATGCTGCCTGTTCAACTAATTTTGCTCTATTTTTTGCAATTCAAGTTAAACCTCCTATAATCTTCTTAATAAGAGAAATTAGCATTTTTTTTTTTTTTTTTTGGTACCAGGGATT